TCCTTCGCGTTCGTCTTGATCCGTGATTTTTTTCGACATGTCACCAAAATGCTAAATAATAATAATGTGTTTACCCATTTTTATTCCAAAAGACATTTTTTAAAGTGAATAAAAAGTAACCATTTTTCATTTTTTGAAAATACCCATTTTTTGACAACTTAGTATGGATTCCAAAAAAGAGTATAAGATACTCATTAAATGGGTACTTGCAAGTTAGCGTGTAGTCTGCCGGAGATAATGACGGGAGCCAATTTGATCTGTCATTTGCGGAAGCCAATCGAGCATTGCTGTTTCTTTATCGTCCAAAGTGGTGGAAGTATTGAAATCGTGACGATAATTAAATCGAACAAAAATGAAATCATTATAGGCTGAGTGGTGCGGAGTCGATCACTTGCTATTTTCAAGTAGGGTTGCTTGAAAAATATTAATTTTCCATGTTATTAATATCAATATTAAGTCACAAGGTCGAATATGCCTGTCTCGTTAACTAGTACCCCGATCTAGGGATAACTCATCAGAATCCTGCATAGATACTACGGTGGTTCAAAATATCGTGTTTGCTTCATGAAGCTCAATCGATTTCAAAACTGGTTTTGATAATTCTCCCAAAATTTTAGTTTATTCGGATGCGCACTCATACCAACAATCAATACGAAACTAACGATTTTAAATTGGCTCACTACTTGACTAGCCTATTGGTCCCAAGCAAATCGATTAACATACCCCATTCTAGTCGAAATTCTAGTACTACACTATGTTTGTTTTGATTTGCTATGAAAGTTTGACAGATAAAATGAGGGGTTCGTGGATTTTCCTATATTTCGAGGGGTACATCGATTAGCCTGAGACCGAAGAGAGTACCAGAGCTGAGCCAAAAAGTTGAGCACGTTTCTTCGGGACCTTCTGGTCTTAGAGTTACCTCTATGCTCATACTGCACTGGCCTGAAGGTGATGTTCTTCTAGTAACTTCCAGAAGTTAACGATTTTGAAGTTCAACAAAAGTCTTGTACGCTATTTTGACTTATTTTTTGAATCCAAGGATCTACGTAGGGCCTCATTGGATCAGAATGGATTCCGCATTTTTTTGGTGGAAAAAACGCTGCAGACAACGAATTGAAAGCGAACGCAAGAAAAATGCTGCAAACCCTAACGAAAAACGTCGTTTCGCCACTTTAGGTTGAGCACTCCCATAAGCCGCATGCATCTAAACCGCGGTGAATTTTCCTCCGCGAATAAATTGCGCCAGTGTGGGGGAGCCTTAATACGCCGCCGGCGCCGATCAAAGTCAATGGCGTCACGCCACTACGCCACCGCCAAGGCAAAAAGGATTTCCACGTCACCGCCGCCGCCGCCGATGAATGGACCGGCGCACAGGTCTAGTTTCAGTAGATGGCTGGAGTTTGGAAGTACTCGGTGAGAGGTGTTGTCCGGATCTTGAGAGAGAAAGAGTTCGTTGGTTGGGAACGGTATATGAGGAGTGGCGGAGCAAGGTTTCTGCTGCTGATGGGTTGCCAACCGGGGAGTGGTTTGGGTAAAGATTTGCCAGGTGTGGCCCCTCAGTTACATCAAATCACAAGAGAATTCATTTGTCACATCACATCATTTTTGTCGGAGTTTCAGATCTCACCATAGGTTAAATAATCAAGGTTTTTTTTTTTCTTTCTAAATATCTTGGAAATATTCTTTGAATTTTCTTTCAATCCTACTCAAACTTTCTTTGAGATTCTTACAAAAAAAAAAATGCTAAACAATATTTGAGCTGCCAGACATTTGAAAACAAATCAATGAAAACATTCCAAAGCCGAGAATTTTAAGATTTGTTAATTCAGTTTCTTGAAAAAATTTCAAAAGTCGACATCTGGAATATTTCAGTTTGTTTCATGGAAAATAATACAGGAACCCCTTCATTTACAGTCACCCCAGTATTATGGACCAGCTAGTCACTATTATGGGTCAGCCAGTTCTGCGTGTAAATAAAATGGAAGTGGCCCATAATTGTGGGTGGGCCATAATACTGGGGTGACTGTATTCGGTCGGTGGTACCATTCACCCATCGCTGTTTCTAGGCTGTGTTTCAACCAATTACGCTGATTTTTTTTGTATTTGATTAGTGTCTACAAAAACTATTTATCTATAGAGAATCAGCTCACTTGGTTGAAGGATAACCGAGGAATAGAAAAAAAACTTTAATCAAAGACTTAATCTTAAAAATTTCAATAAGTCCTAGAATGTTAAAGGATTTTTTAGGGTGACTTAAGGGGTTACGCCTACCTGCAAGACCGAAAAAAAGCGAAAGTTTGGATTTTTATTCTCGAAAACGACGCAACATATTGAAAATCAGTTTTCTGCCGTTTATTGAACACACATTAAATGGTACATTTATCAGTCGATGCTGTAGAAACGAGGTCCTGGTGCCCCGCACGGCTGCTCCCCGTGGACGATGTTCTAAAAAACGCTTTTTGCGGTGCCAACTGTGGTTTGTGATTTAATCATCTGAAAAAAAAAAAACCATGCCACATCGCTAAGCATGTGTTAAACTAGTCCTTGATCGTTCGGTTTTTTTTAAAAAAAAAATTTTGACAAAATGGCGGCCTTGCAAAGTTGAAGTGCCGATTTTTGATCCTCAAAAATTTGTCTTTGATCGGCTGTAAAAAATCGAAATTAAATGATAGACGAAATCCGAACGATCGTGAACTGCACAAAATAGTACTGAACAGAAATCAAAACGAATCGGACGAATCGAATGTATACATTTCGAGAAATTTTTGGCACCGGTTTTGAAAATATGATTTCGAAATAATCGCGTTTAAAGTTTCAAGTTGGGTTTAGTCCACTGTAAGTGAATATTTTTGTACGTCGCATAACTTTCACAATTTTCATTGGATCACCTTGATCTTTTCAGGAAATATTCTTGACATTATATACTTTCGATTAGGACAATAAAAAAATCGATTTTTTGAAAGTTTGCAGGTAAGCGTAACCCCTTAACTCGAAGTGACTTTTTGTAATCATCAAAAAATTTCTATATCTTTCATCTCGTAATGCTTTTCCTAGAACTTGCTTCTTCAAATTCAAGGATTGAAAAAGACTACCTAATGAGACTTAGAAAATGTTTAATCATTTTTCAAGATTCTAGAGCTTACATTTTTTTTTTTTTTTCATTTTGTTTATTTGGCAGGCTCAAATGTTAAAAGAATAACTTAGCGGAGCCGAGTAACATGGAATACCAATTTTGGTACTCAAAATACAAACAAAAGATATACAAATGCATATTATTAAAGGATTTTCCTGGATGGCGATCGAAGCGACAACAAAGCGATCTTCTCTCGTGCACGCAACTTCTTTCTTTCCCGAATTTGTTCCTCATTATCGTTGAACCCGAAACGTGATCGCTGCTGCTGCATCTGAACATCGTTTCCCGTTGCATGCTCTCCGCTACTCTCGTCGGTCGTCGGGGTCGTTTCGTCCATTTCGTTATCTTCTTTCAACATCTCCAACCCCGTGTCCGTTTCCTGGTCGCTAATGACAAACGACGCACCTTCCACCACTACACCAGCATACGTACTGCTGCTGTTTTGTTTTCTTTCACTTTGCTTTCCTTTTTCCTTTAGTTGCTTCTCCGGTTCCTTCCGAGCCTTCCGCTTGGGACAGGAAAGCTTCCGGTGTCCGTCCGCCTTGCACAGAAAACATTTATCTTTGTTGCCATCATAAAATATATTTCCTTTGCGGTGGGGATTTCCTTCTTCACATCCATATATATACCGCGTATCCCTGTATAAACCTCAAAGCACAGATCAGATGGAAATTTCTCCCGGATGATGCGTTTAATTTTTCCATATTTCCCCAGCACTTTATCCAGCTCGTTGTCCGGTACCTCTGGTGGCAAGTCATACACACGCACATACTGGATAAATTCACCAGCATGCGACATGCGTACCTTTGCCGTCGTTCCATTCGCATAATGGAAGATTAAATCCTTCGAATTGTATGTCAGAGCATGGAGCATCGCTTCCTCTGATTTGAACTTTATGAGGACTCCCCTTTCCTCACCAATGCGATAAACAGCTTCCATTTCAGCCGGATCCGCGTCGAGTGCTTTGGCGAAATTTACAATCTCTCCGATGTTTGGTTTAGCATCATAATGGCTGAAGCTAAACTTGATGGTGTTTTTTACTTCACACATCTTGCACCGTAGCAACAAAAGGCACAAACTGATAGCAACGAACAAAGAGCAACCGAGCAACTATATAATAGCGAGTCTCAAAAACAGGCTATCGCGTGGTTCACACCGAAATAAAAATTCGACTGCTGCTGAAGACAGCTGTGGGACAACTGAGAGCTTACAATTATATTTAAAATAATTTTACTTTGTTACCGAGTTAGCCCCCCCCCCCCCTGGCCTATTTTCAACACTCTTCGTTGAGTTCACAAGTAACATCATTTCAATTCAACATCATTCTGCTTAATTACTGAACCATAGATTTTACAAATTTGTTCACCAATTAATCGATTGCATAATCGATTAAATCATCACTGACCACGAATAGATATCAACCATATAATCCATCGAGATGCACCGTGACCAAATTGCACCATCAAAATGTTTGTAGAGTAGACTTAAAATCCTGTCCATATTCTAACAACTTGTCATAATGAATGTGTGTATATTTCTCCCCTCTATCCGATTGGCCACCGAAAAAAAACTGTTACAAACACGATTAAAAAAAAAACAAACTTACAAAACAAAACAAACCTCAATCCACGACGGCACATTTTCTATCTTCGCGCACCACCTTGTATGAATCTTTCAACAAAACAACACACCACACGTATCCCGTTACACACTGTTCACCACGTGTATTTCGGAACTCCACACCCGACCGACACCCTTTGGTTCGAACGGCAATCGACGGAAACCTGGCGTCATCTTCGACACCGTCCATCACCAATTAAATGCGTTAAAAAAAATCACGAAAACAAATCTCTATTCGTGTCTGTAGAGCTTCGAACAGGTAAACCATCGTCCAAGTCTTCAAATTCCAAACTCTCTTATACAAAGTTCTATTTCGCTCTTTCAATTTCAAACGTTGAATTTAACTTCACCTTTAATCTATCTTTACTATATAAACTAACCAAGCCCACCTTTGCCGTTGCCCTTAATCACCTCCACGCTGATCCATAGAATAGATGACTCAGTTTGGTCTGCCTGCTGAATAAAAGCTTTTAGAATTTTAGAGGAAACTGCTTTTAGTGTTGATGTTTAATTATAGCAGATAGATGTGGTAGAATTAGTTTTGCAGTAACAATGTTGCCTCCTTTCATTAGAATATTAGACGTGTGCTGCTGCAGGAGTAGCAACCGCTTTCATTTTACGAAAATTATGCAAGGCTTTAACGCATATAACGATGTAAATTAAATTTTCTTTATCAAAGACTTCATAATTGAAATTTCCTTAATTCTAATGCGAAACCTCAATGCATAATTACAGGAAGTGGGCGAGGATTCCAAGCTGGCCCGCAGCTTCGAGCGGATACGATCGATCGTGCGCAAGAAGCGAAACGCCAACAAGGAAAAGAACGAGAACGATACCAACACCCGGCTGGAGCAGTTGGTGAACGAGATCGTCATCAAGCAGCGGGAAGAGAAGAAGTACACCACGGCCCCGAAGGATCAAACCATCGTGCTGCCATCGAGCGAGTTCCGACCGATCCAGGGTGGACCACTCTACTGCCAGGGCTATCAGGTACGATGAGCATCCGGTTCTTATGATCACATTTTCATTACCATTTCCCTCCTTCCCAGGAATCACTGACACAACGTACTCTATCGGAGCAGCAGTGCTACGAGGTCCCCCTAAAAGATCAACCCCTGCGAACCATTTCCGGCAGTCAGGAGACCGTGTCCCAGATGGACGACCGCCAGCTGCCGGACGATGGCCAACCGCAGATGACCGAGGTGGAACGCAAGATCCTCCAGCAAATGTCTTCCGGTTTCGGCACCCAGCAGAGCAGGGACGAACCCACGGTAACCGAATCGCTTGAAATGCATTCCCTCAATCGAATCAATTCTTCCGAGATCGACCCGAACGAACAGTCGATTCACATATCGAACTCCCAACCGTACGACGTGGCGTACCTGCAGTACCAAAAATCCCTGCTGAACCGATCGCCAAGCTATCGGAAATCGCTGGACAAGACTTCGTCACGAACTTCCAGTGCCCATTCGTTGGCCACCTCTCTGGCCAAGTGCCACTCGCCGCTGGTGCAGGAGGTACTGAATGCTGGGTCACAATACCTACGCAATAGCAATATCTCGCTCATCCAAACGCCAACTCCGGTACCTAGACGTGAAGATAATCATTTTTTAGTAGCCGATAGGAACAGTAGTTTAGACAAATCGATCACGGCCTCGCCGCCGCAGCCGATCAGCCAACAACGTTCGCCAAGTACCAGCAGTAGCATGCGCAAGGCGGTGCTGGCCGCCAACCGTTTCTCCGACCAATCGCTCAATACGCTCTCGATCGACCATGACGAGCTGATCAATCAGATGAACCTGAAGGACGAACTGCTCAACTGCGAGCAGAAGGAGTTGTTTCAATTCCTCAACGATGAGGTTGACAATAGTAACAATTATTTTAGTGATACGGTAGGTTATGGCAGCGCGTTAGTCGATGCGGACACCGAGAGTCTGCTACTAAACTCCAAGAAGGAGGACATCATCTACTCACCGGATCGGAAGGTCTCCAACGGTAGCCTAAAGTCTAATTTAAGTAGTATATCCAATTCGATCTTTCAAGCGTTGGAGCACCGCCGAGGGGGTAGTATATCCGGTTCAATAGAAAAACAACGGCCAACGATCGCTGTGGACAATGGGAGTATGCGATCGGGAAGAGACAGCGACGATAAAGAGCCGCTCGTTAAGGCTTCTGAGTTTGACGACATTATTCATAGTTTCGATACCGAGCTGAAGAGCTTGAAGTCTCTCTCGCTAGGCCGAAGCCATTCGCAGACGGACGCACCCGTGTCGCCGGAACGTGAACGGAGAAACTCCGACACGTGCCCTTCGAAGCCCGTGGTTGAAGAAGTAGTCCGACTGCGAAGGCCCAAATCCAGTACCGTCTATAAGTATAGGAGTAGTAGTAAAGATAACAATAATACACATGGCAATAATACTAGTGATAAAGATAATAACAACAGTAATACGTGTAACAATAATAATCCTAGGACTAGTACCGGTAACGATAGTAATAGCAGTAATACCGATAGCAATACACAGCGCAGCGAAACGTCCAAACGGCGAAGTCTGGAAAAGCAGCGCAACATAACCGACGAGGAGTTCAACATGGGAATAGAGATAAAGAAACTCTGTGATCAGCTACAGGCACCATTTTCCACCTCCGCCGTTGTACAGGAACAACCCACCAGTAGTAGTAGCAGTGGTGGTGGTGGTGGTGGACCCTCAACGCTGACTCCCTTCGTGGGGCTGTCTGCCGTTGGCGGTGGCAACGGGAACAACATCAGTACCATCCCTATCGTGTTTCGACGGAAGAACGACTTCCACAGTAGCTTCGATCGGATCAAGCGGCTCAGTCTGATCGAACGCGTCGAAGAATGCAACGAAGACGAGAAGGCTTTCGTGCAGCCACCGAAGGCATCCAGCGAAAAACTTCCACGGAAGCAACTGTCCAAAGACTGCCTGGAGACACTGTCTCTCAAGAGTAGCTACAGTGTAGAAAACTGCGAGAGACCCCTGGACGAAAGCAGCAAAAAGATCGGAATCAGTCTGGAAGAGTTCCAGCGGAACATTGCCCAGGAAAGCAGTTCCGAACCGGCACCGATCAAGCAACCGCCCAAGAAGACGGTAACCTATAGCGAAACATCGCGGCAGAATAGTTCACAACAACCGACGCCCAAACGGACGCCGTACAAAACCTACGAATCCGATGCTCCACGTAAGTAGTTTTTGAATGCTGTATGGGGTTGGAAAGAGAGAGTTGACTGTGCTTTCAGTCAGTTGCTTAACCAGAGAGTTTATGGTGGAGTACTTTTTGAAGTAATTTCCCAAAAAGTCAATGTAATTGTGTGTCCTAAGGCTGTGTCCCACTTTCCGAGTTAAATGTAACTCGTGGTTTAAAGTGACATTTCGAAAGTTATTTTCAATGTTCGAAAATTCCGGTGTTATAGAACTATCGGTTTTCTAACAGAACTTAGCCACTGCTCTCAGTGCAGTTCTTAGGAACTTCAGATTCCATGCGAATACTAAGGAGAATACCATGGTAGATTTGAGTGGAATTCCATGAAAATTATTAATAGAATTCATAGGAAACTTTATCGAAAATTCATAGAAATCAAATCAGTCATCTTGCTCTTGATAATTTCAAGAATATTTTAGGAGAATAATAGTTCAGAGCATAATTCCATGAGAATTTTAGGAATATACTTAGAAGGCATGTAAAAAAGAAGGATTACAATTAAAATTGAGGATAAATCCAGGAGAAATTCGAAGGAATTTCAGGAGAGTTCTGACTAGATTGCCAAACCATTCTTGATGAGAAATCCTGAAAATTTTGTGAGTAGAGCTGCATGTGAAATCTTAGGTGGAATTCAAAAGGAATTCAACGAAAATGCTGAAAACAATTCCTGTGGATTTATTCCAAAAGAATTCTGAGGAAAGTTATAAGGTAATTCCAATGAAAATCTTATATTTTGGCAATTCAAAAGAGTGTTCCAATGAAATTAAAAAGCGACCTTTTTTCAGTTCTATCTGAAAAGAACGTGCGAAAAACATCAAGTGAAATCAGTTCTTAGTAATTTCAGGTTTCATGGGAAACCTAAGGTGAATACCATGGAAATTATTAATAGAATTCTAAGGAAACTTTATCGAAAATTCATAGGAATCAAATCAGTCCTCTTGCTCTTGATAATTTCAAGTAGATTCTAGCAGAACAATAAAGGGTGATACGGTCAAAATTTGGTCAAGGGAAAACGCGTGTAAATCGGTGAAATCGTTTATTTAAAAAATCAAATTAAATTTCTTTTTCAAGTTCAATTAGTATAAAATTCAGGAAAAATATTCAGTTAGGCTTCCGCTTTTCCAAATCCGAATTGCCGGGCCTTACGCTTGACCCCTGCCATCAGATTTTGTACAGCCACCTTGTCCACGTTCTTCGCCGCAGAAAGCCAGTTTGCCTTGAACTGCTGCTCGCCCTTAGCAGTTTTTTTGGTCTTCTTTAGGTTCCGCTTGACAATAGCCCAGTATTTCTCAATTGGGCGGAGCTCTGGTGTGTTGGGAGGGTTCTTGTCCTTGGGAACCACCTGCACGTTGTTGGCGGCGTACCACTCCATGGCCTTTTTACCGTAATGGCAAGATGCCAAATCCGGCCAAAACAGTACGGAACAACCGTGTTTCTTCAGGAAAGGCAGCAGACGTTTATTTAAACACTCTTTCACGTAAATTTCTTGGTTGACAGTCCCGGAAGCTATGAAAATGCTGCTTTTCAAGCCACAGGTACAGATGGCTTGCCAAACCAGATATTTCTTTGCGAACTTTGACAGTTTTATGTGCTTGAAAACATTTGCTACCTTTCCCCTTCCTTTTGCCGTATAAAACTCCTGTCCCGGAAGCTGCTTGTAGTCGGCTTTGACGTAGGTTTCGTCGTCCATTACCACGCAGTCAAACTTCGTCAGCATCGTCGTGTACAGCCTCCGGGATCGCGCTTTGGCCGTCGTATTTTGTTTATCATCGCGATTTGGAGTCACTACCTTCTTGTAAGTCGATAGTCCGGCTCGATTTTTGGCTCGATGCACGGTTGTAGACGATACACCCAGCTTATTTGCGGCATCTCGGAGAGAGAGGTTAGGGTTTCGCTTGAAACTACCGGCAACTCTCTTTGTCGTCTCAGCGGCTTCCGGTTTTCGATTTCCCCCCGATCCAGACTTCCTGGCTGTCGACAAACGTTCCCCAAACACTTTAATTACATTTGTAACGGTTGATTTGGCAACTTTTAGCGATTTTGCCAACTTTGCGTGCGAGTAGCTCGGATTTTCGCGATGCGCGAGCAAAATTTTGATACGCTGCTCTTCTTGCTTGGACGGCATTTTGACAACTGAAGAGTGAATTCCAAAATCAAAATAGGAGCAACATTCTACACACACACCTTTAAAATGAGGGGTGTTCAGGTTTTTTAAATGCAAAATTGAAATAAATACGTCAAGTTGATATTGACCAAATTTTGACCGTATCACAGCATTCACCGTATTCAGAGCATAATTCCATGAAAATTTTCGAAAAATACTTAGGGGGCATGCTAAAAGAAGTGATTACAATTAAATCTGAGGATAAATTCAGGAGACATTCAAAGGAATTTTAGGAGAGTTCTGACTTGAATGCAAAACCATTTTTTATGAGAAGGCCTTGATGTCCTCTGCTATCCGAAGAAGTCGTCTCGACTCTACTCGATCCATGGCTACACTTTTCCAGCTTCGTCATAGTCCTTATTTCGTCGCGTAGGCCTGTGCCGATTGTTCCGATCCGTATTTCTTTCTTCGGTATTTGCAACATTGTATTTTTCAGGGGCGGCTTGTTTAGCCTGCCCCAACCCCCTGTCTCGCTAAGGAACCATCGAGCACAGCTCTATGTAAAGTCCCACGCTGGCACTAGAACGGTGATCCACCGCTACTAACATGGAGAACAGACGCCGTGTTGAGCCGCACTTCTATGCAAGGTTGCAAAGACTCATTTCAGCTAAAACAATGTTTTTCTAAATTATGAAATAATTAGATGCCATGATCAAATTTTGAATTGATAGGATACAAGAAGAGGTTGCAAAGAATGTGTTTGACATATTAAACCTGTTTATTTCACTTCATGAGAGTCACAATCAGCAATTTTTCACAAACTCACTCACTCACTCACTCACTTACTCAGCGATCAGCAAATCGCTGATTGTGACTCATAGAAAGCAAAATTTACAGGTTTTATGTTTCCAACGCATACTTTGTAACCTCTTCTTGTAAGTTACAAGTAATACATGCCATCATACCATCTTTTGGTTTTATTATACCGAAAAACATTATTTTAGCTGAAATGAGTCTTTGCAACCTTGCTTCTATGTTGATCAGACGCTCGGGTTTGGTGAAACATTCCCTCTATTACCGTACTATGGATACCGCGCTAGTGTTCGCTGGCAACATTGCCCGGGCTACGCCACCCAGATGTGTCCATTAGAGTGATGCAAAATTTGAAATTTTCGCTCCACAGTGCTCAAACGGTTCCAAATTGGGCCCAGATTAGCCTCCCAAAATTTGAACTCATTTAGTGAGAAACTGACTTGGCACAAACCATTTGAAGTTTATATGGAAATTACTATGGAGAAACCATAATTTCGGTTCATATCTACCTCAAAATTCACCAGTTTACTCTACTTTAGAAAATGATAGCGGAGCTTGTTGAAAATTTTCTCAGCTACAACTTTGTTGAAGACCACTTTTCGATCAAATGCAAGGAACAAAAGTTATTAATGATTCAACTCACTGATGTCTTATGATTATGCTCAATCAACTGTTCAGCAGGCAACATTGGTGTTTCTGGCGCGTAGAATAGAGGACAACAATCATGGCTACTATGTCACACTGCAGAATACAGTGTTGCCCACAATACAGTTGCTTAATCTTGCCATAAGATTATCAATCTCTTAAACAATTAATAAATATTTAATTTGAAGTTTGACTGAAAAAAAAATTTATGCGAAGTTGTAGCTAATAAAAATTCCCATCAGAATGGCAATAGAGTTTGTTAACAGTACAATATGTAAAAAGGCTAAACGACAATGAACAAAAAGTTTTGTTTTCCCATAGTAATTTCCATATAAACTTCAAATGGGTTGTGCCAAGTCAGTTTCCTATCAAATGAGTTTAAACTTTTGGAGACTAATCAGGACCCGATTTGAAACCGTTTGAACACCGTGGAGCGAAAATTTCAAATTTTGCATCAGTCTAGTGTCCATGTTACAGCTGGTGGTAGTTTGTTATCATATGACTCGGGGAGGCATGAGGCAGGAACTTGTGAGGACCAGAGCTAGGTTTCCCGGTCTTTCCATCCGCAGCCTTACTGACATCGGCCACGGCCGTCACGCAAAATGAATAATAAGAATAATCGAAATAATAACAAATCGATATACTGTAATGCGACAGAGCTTGTGATTGAAACCACGATCTTTTGCTATTATATCGCAGCAAACCACTGCGAAAGACGATCACGCATGCCTAGCGACAAGAAACTATTGAAATGAAATAAAATCCCCGGATGGAGTCTACCATGTTCCGACCGATTTCTATCAGCAGCGATTTTCTACATTTAAGAAAGAGCCTGTATAGAACCCACGGTCTTATACTCCGTAAGCAAATATGGTCGCTGCTAGGTCTCCGAGCACCGAGCTACATCCAAAGGAAACAACAACACACCATTTGAACCGACAATCATTCTATACATTATATTTCAATTTCGGATCAATCATACGGCATATTTTACCGGGAATATCACTGGTTTTCGAACCATTTGACAGAGTTCTATCATAGAGGTAACTCTAAGACCAGAAGGTCCCGAAGAAACGTGCTCAACTTGTTGGCTCAGCTCTGGTACTCTCTTCGGTCCCAAGCTAATCGATGCACCCCTCGAAACATAGGAAAATCTACGAACCCCTAATTTGATCGGTCAAACTTTCATAGCGAATCAAAACAAACATACTAGTACTAGAATTTCAACTAGAATGGGGTACGTTAATCGATTTGCTCAAGTAGTGAGCCAATTTTAAATGATTAGTTTCAACTGGTTGGTTCTATCCCGTTCAATAGTGGTTGGAAGAAACTTGATATGACAATTATAGTTTAATTTTTTTTCTGAAGTTCTTTAGAACAAGCCACCAAAACTTCACTGCAAGTTACCTGGGAATTATCCAATTGATAATTCCAGGTATGCAATTGTATAATTAATACGCAATTTTTTTTATATTCATATACAAATTCATAAGAATTTGACATGTTTGAAATTTCTCAAAATATCTTAAGTGGACCCTACACGATTGCTTTTATTGACAATAATCGTGACATTGTATAATATAAAAATAATACATTTCCCATTCTCTCTTTCTCTCACCCCCTCCCTGCAGTGAACTTAGCTGGAAAGCCGTGGCACTGTCTGGTGTCTTACGTGGACGACATCACCGTGGGTGGTCGTCGCAATTCGCAAGGCGTCTACGACGATCCCATGGCCTTTCCCAGCTTCGGTCGCCGGAAAGCTCCCAAAATACCGCAGGACTGCTTCCCGCAAAAGTGCTACGAAAAGTAAGTACCGCTTGATGGATGTTTGAGTGTCTTCCTGTGTATGTGTGTGTCTAAAGAAAAATGCAACTGTAAAAACCGAAGAGGTAAACAGGCACGCTCAGACCTAAGAAAAAAAAAATCAAAAACAACAACAACAAGCATCCATCCCGACACGAACCACGAAAAATTCGACTCATTCGGCGCACCTAGCTCGATGAAAATCCTCCAAATCTCACCCCTACACTCCCGAACGTAGTGGCCAATGTTGTGTGGAAATTGACCCCCCGTAATGCTTTATAGACCAATCCTAACCGATTCCATCCGATGATGTTTGATCGCTTTTTGTGTTCGCACTCACTTGTCCAGTTTGGTTTTATCATTTGCAATCACACGCTGTTCATAGACACTGCTTACCGGAGGGGACCGTTCCGTGGTTAACGGGCGGACCTTCGTTACATTATAAACGAAAACGAAAAAAAAAACACGTGGATGTCAATACGAGAAACGAGATTTCGAGAATTATCATGATATCGCAATGGAATTAAAATGAAGCGAGTTTTTCAAGGACCTGATAAACCATTAAGTTCTTAATCTGCTTCAAGTTCTAATCGCGGTATAATCTTATCCTTATCGTATTTAGTAGTTTTCTGAAATCTCTTCAACATTCCTAAAATGTGCCTTCTTTCAAATGGGAAAGGGTTTCTGTAAATATCATCATTATAGTAGTGATCATTAGCAGTTTCAAATCCATGAAACTATCGTATACACATGTAATGTCTTCAAAACTTAGCGATAATTCTAAGCTTGAGATCATATCATTCCTATAGATCCGAGATGTTCAAAGCACACTTTTAGAAGGATTGCACCAAATTTCCACGTCAACCAAACAAGTTACCCGAAAACATAACAACATTGCATGCCATTAGTTTCATATTTATCGCATCAGTTTTCTTACATTCATTTTAATTTTTTATATTACAATTTAGCGCATAGTTTGGACACAACATACTTTTAGATAGATCTGGAATTAGGGCGAAACAGCTTTTGTAAACAATGACTTCTCTCGATGATTTCTAGGAATTCAAGGCACGTCCACGCAAATCAACATAATTAACAGGTAGGCGAAGTCTTCCCCTATCCGATGATGATGTTGATTAGCGTGGGCGAGCCTATACTTTCTAGAAATCACGGAGGGAAGTCATTTTTTTTTACAAAAGCTGTTACGCCCTAATTCTAGTTAGACTTTAAACATTCTATGAGAGTCTCCGTTCAACTAAAAATCAGTCGTACTTAAATATAGAACGCAAGAGATCAAGATGACCTATCGCTAACAAAGCAAGTTTAAGATTTATTCAGGAAAACCAGTAGTAGCATCTGGTAGAAGACGAACTTTGCTCTATCAGATGGAGCAGTTATTGTTCACATTTGTCACACAGGACCTTCCCATATGTTGCTCTAGATTTATGATTAATCGGGATTCATCAAACTTCAAACCAATGCAACCTTCATGCGATGGTGCCACCTAGACTAAACCAATAAAAAAATTGATCCCTTTTCTTAAAAAACGCCATTTCTGTAATAGAACATAATAGATATATATCAAGGCCAAATTGCAAAAAAAAATCAGCCTCAGCAGCCATTCACATATTTATTAAAATTCGGCCATTTTGAATTTTGCAAAAATCATCGAAATGGCGTATTCGATATTTCAACCATTTTCAAAAAAATATCAATTGGGTTCATAAGGAGTATAGAGGTAATGGCATATTCGTAATCAGCATTGGAACCAAAATCCACATTTTTTAGCACTGGAACTATTTTAAATAAATGTTATTACAATAGCAAAAGTTACCATCTTAGCGCCCCTCGCTGGCACTTTGTATGGAAGCGAGATGTCAGTTTGTTAATTAAGTGATCAATTTGCTTTTGATCTTGATTTAAAGATCGAGATGGAAGTAAATGGGATCGAAAAAAAATATCGTTGTGCTCGATAAACGAAGTCCTTTCAGATGATGCATAATAACCGATTTTTTTTTTTCAAATTAAAGAACCCATTTGAAAATAGAGTGGTCTCCATGGTTATTGAGATACAAATATCATTTTTTTTTTAGTTATTTGAGAATGAGATAGACCAGCACAATGTTCTGCAAAGTTGTAAAACTGTTTATTTTAAGCAACTTTGCTGAACAAAAAAAATTCTTTCTCTAAATATATGAATGAAATCACGATATTTCAAATGCAATTAATAACGAAAAATGCTCCTTTTTGAGATATCAACATTTGAAAATAGAAGTTTTTTTTAACAAAACTCGTTCATAACTTTCCCAAAGAAAGAGATAGATTTAACTTTATTTATTTAATCTTTTAAATTTGTCGAACCTCTTAACGGAATTCTTTTATCAAGAGCTTTGAGTGTGTTGGTTTATTTCCTTTAAATTCCGTTATAATTGCTTATCTTTTGACAGATACGCGTATTTCGTCTGCTACTTGCAGACTTCATCAGTGCCAAGTGGTGTTGAGTACGTATCTGTCAAAAGATAAGCAATTATAACGGAATTTAAAGGAAATAAACCAACACTCTCAAAGCTCTTTATTCATTTATTTATTTAATCATCTGACTTTTTGTCGTCTTTATGAATGTGATGGGGAAAAGCCAATTTAACTGGCGTAAAAACCCCACAATACAGTACAAACCAGGGTTGCTTCTACTCACTTGCTATAAAGCAATGTTATGAATTATGAAATCATTAGATGATATAATATATAATAAAACCTGTCAATTTCGCTTTCAGAGCGTCACAATCAGCGATCTTATGATTCGCGAGCGTTCACTCAGAGTGAGCGCTCACGAATCGTTTAATCGCTAATTGTGACGCACTGAAAGCAATATTGACAGATTTTATGTGTCAAACACATACTTACGGACCTCTTCTTCTTTTAGTTCCAATGTTCCTAATGTTTTCATAATTCGGAAAACCAATTTTTATAGCAAGTGAGTGGAAGTAACCCTGGACTACAAACATTATAAAACAAGCACATCCGTGAACATAATATAAAGTAATCATAGGTTCAAATATCAACTGTAGTCAAAACATAAAAACTTATAATTCAATCAACTCCATTGGACATCCATAATCCGAACCAATCCTCGTCTTTCACAGTTACGAATCTAACTCGATCCATTAATGCAATTCAGTCAGTCTACGCTTAAATGTTGCCACAGTAGAGTTGAAGTCGAAGAGGATGTAGACTTCGTTGAACCTAGCCGACATGAAGCGGACAGGATCATGAAGGCCGTACAGGGAGTTCCAGGGCTCAAGCAGCGAAAAGTTTCGTTGGCGAAGCAATCGTTCAGGAACGTAAAGGTTAAGTTTACCTAGTAGGGTAAATGATGGCTTCGGCAGCCATCGACTGTTTTCGGCAACCACAATTTAAACGTTAATTTCGATGTATTTTCTTACTAAAACACTTCGCTGAATGTATTTAAACGATTCCTTAGTCTTTCAACTTCCATCCTAATACATTTTTACGACTGAGCAAACCTGTTGTGCCAGGTGTTTCTTCAAAGGAAACATAAGCACATCAAAATACGGCTGATTTCGAGTTGCCGATAATAGAACAGCTGGTTTACACACAGTTTAAACGGAAAGGTTGCCGAAGTAAAAGAGGCTGCCGACAATAGTCACACTCACCTGAGAAGTTTGGAGCGCCTTAAAAACGTTTTCAAACCGTTTTGGACAGTTTTGTTGATTGGAATGGATAGAATAGCTAGCAGCAGATGAATGTAAACAAACAGACACGTCATATGTGTGCGTGACACTGAGAAAATGCTAATAGAAGTGCGGAAGTTGCTTAGATTGGCGAGAATACGTAAATTCCCCTATCTCCGGTGCGTCCGTTTCTCCTGTGAGATTTTTAGCAACGTACACCGCATGGGTATCATTTCGTTTCTGCTCAAGCGTCTGCAGTCCTAATAATCTGCATCGATCTCCATACTGTGGTAAGTTCAACGGATCTCACCACGGAAGGCGTCGTAGGGCATATCTCACAAATTTTCTCTGAATTGCTTCGATCGTACCAGTCCAGGTTGACTGGTACGGGCACCATACTATAGAGTTGATTTCCAGAATTGATCGCACCAGAGCGCAGTACAGAGATCGGAGGCAGAGAGGATCGGTAAATTCGCAGAATATTTTGAACATAAATCCCAGCTGTCGGTTGGCTGCACTGATAATATCGTTGTAGTGCGATCGGAAGGTCAACGCTGAATCTAGGATGACACCAAGATCACGAACTTGAAGAACACGCTCAAGGGACTGACCATTAATTAAATAATCGTACGCAATTGGGATGAGATGAACCGATATAATGTTACATTTGTGGATGCTCAACGTCAGCATGTTCCGAGTGCACAAATCAGCAAAACTATTCAACAGCAGTTGTAGAGCGTCGGAGACGAGCCAGCCAACGGCTGAAAGTCTCCTTAATAAAGATAAAAAAAAAAAAGTTGTAGAGCATAGCAGGGCTCGATACCTTTATTGATCATGTATATTTTGACGTCATCAACGTAAAAAACACGGCAGCCAGATGGTAGTACGAGGGAAAGCTCGTTGATGAAGAGTGAGAATAACAAAGGACCCAGGTTGCTACCTTGTGAAACGCCAGATAAGTTTGAAAATTGTTCCTAAGATTAAAATCCGAAATTGACGGTGTGGTTCCGATCCGTAAGGTTTGATTTAAACCAGCTAATAAGATCCGTAGAAACACCAATTCTTCCTAGAAGTTTCAGTAACATTCCGTGATCAACTCTATCGAAAGCTGATTTGAAACCAGTGTATGCGGTGTCGATCTGAGCACCAGAATCAATGTTGCGTGTGCAAAACGAAGCAAATTGGACGAGATTTGTAGATGTTGATCTTTTGGGGTAGAAACCGTGCTGATCTGTAGAAATATAATTCTTGCAGGAGTCGAAAAGTACATAATTTATTATGATTTCGAAAACCTTTGAACAAGCACACAAC